TTGATAGTATGAGTGTAGCTCTGTTGTAGTTCAGGCTAAGCACTCGCTATAAATTTCACAGTACGCAAGCAACCCGGGTTCAATAATCACTGGCAAAAATGAAATTGTTAATTGCAATTTTAAGTGCTGATTTACCACGTGCTCAGTGGTGAAGGAAAACATAGCAGGGAAACCTGCATGTCTGGGAAATAAGAAATATATTTCGAAGACATTTGAAGTTCACCAATGCGAATTGGGGCAGGGAGGTGGTAGATATTTCCTTGTCCTAAAACCCTCTCAGAAATGTGAGGACGCCTGTGCCTAGCAGTGGAACTTATATAATGTGTAAATTTAACTTTTTATAGGTATTATTGTTAATGACAATATTGAAAAATGTATTGTAAAGACTAACTGGGCCATTGCCTAGGGGCAGGCATATTTTTTTGCATAATTTTGGAGGCATCAAAGTATTTTTACCAAGCCTAACAATAAAAAAATTAACTTTTCTAACTAATTTTGTTAGAAGTTAATTTTTACCCTTTTGAGTGGACCAAGGTATATCACAATTTCCATATTGTCTAAATAGTTACATTACTTCATCCCCTATTTTACCACCATTATCAGTGGAATTTACTCTCCAAATTTTCGGGGGACAATCCCTGAAGTATAACCTATTAAATAAAAAAAAAACATTAATATTATAGGTACATTACCTATTCACAAGTGGCAAAGATAATATAAATAGAGATAATATAATAAAATCAATATATACAAAAAATATAGTCTAATTGTCCTCCTTTTTTGAAGTCGGTTTAAAAATAACAATAATAAAGGCCAATGGAGCTGCCAATTTTATTAACCCAGTCAGTTATTCATTTTACTAATAATTGCCACTACTTACCATAAAGTATTGAGCTTACAACTACAGTAATTAAAAGCATTGTCAACACCCGACGTAAAAGAGGGGTGTTATATGTTTAACGTGTGCATCTGTGTATCTGTCTGTGGTATTGTAGCTCCAAACGGATGAACCAATTTAGATTTTTTTGTTTGTTTGAAAGGTGACATGATCTAGTGTTCTTAGCTATGATTTAAGAAAATTCTTTCAGCAGTTTGAAGATCATCAGCTCTTTTTATTTCGGGGGTTTCAAAATTTTCAATTTTTTTTTTTTAATTTTTCAAGTTATTATTTTCAATTTGTAAAAAAAAGAGTACAAATGGAGCATATTCATCAAAAACCAAATGCTAGATTTACAATGAAAAAAGTTTATCTTTTTTAGAAAGTGATACGTAATACCTTAATGTTATAGGATAACAAAGCAACCTTTCCTTCCTGCTATGATAGTATCATATCACTTCCTTCTACCACAACCTTATCTATTGGAACTGAAAGTACTCTTTTTACTATATTTTTACCACTTATCATGTTTTCAAGTAGATAAGATAAAGCTATAAGCTCAGGCATTCAGTAAACATTTCAAGGAATATAGGGCATGAATATGTCTGTATATTAAAAACTCAGATCGTGATCATTTAAACCCAAGGCAAAGAGGGTCTATTGAATAGAAAATCTGTTGTATTAACACTGCAACTTCACTTTGGACACATTCCATAAAACAAATTTGCTTTCAAGATGAAAAAGAAAGAATCTCCAAATTGCGAAACATGCAACATAATGGAAAATATACAACACTTGTTTGCAGAATGTTTCAAACGCCATCAAGAGAGGAAACTACTGGTAGCCAAAACTAGCATTAAAATGTGTAACATAGGTGAATATCAAAGCATTATCTCTGAACCACTGTCAATTGCTGCTCTAATGGTGTATCATTTAGTAAATATAATGTATGTATATGTAAATTAATTAATTATTTTGTGTTATTTAGTTTTACAATGAGACTGACATTTTTAAAATAACAAAAGTCCCTTAATTAAAAAAAAAATCGGCCAAGTGCGAGTCGGACTCGCGCACCGAGGGTTCCGAACAAATTTGTAGGTATATAAGTTCAAAATTATTAAAAAAAATTTAATTATATGATGTAATTAAAAATGTATGCTTTTTTACAATTTTTCCTTTATCTGTGCTATAATACATTGCTTCGTGCCAAATTTTAAGATTCTGAGTTCACGGGAAGTACCCTTTAGGTTTTGATTCCCTTGCGAATGTCGAAAATTTGCAGCATAAACGGCTGTATCTTTTGATTGCGTTGGCTTAGAAGTTTAATTTTTTTACAGCTCCAAGGGACAGTAAACTTGAGTATTTGATATGACTTTCAGCTTGATACCTCCACGCGTTCCTGAGAAAAGGGGTCTTGACAGACAGACATACATACAACAAAGTGATCCTATAAGGGTTCCGTTTTTTAATTTTGAGGTACGGAACCCTAAAAAAGATTTAAACCATAGAAGTTTGTTAAACGGAGTTGTTGTTTTTTTGAGTTGCCCTATTGGCAGAGACTATGGACTTGAATTTGGCATGATCCTTACACACTTTTCTCGAGTCTTTGAGATCCATATACCTAAGCATACATGCTCGTCACTTAAGGGCATCCTATAGTAAGACTATCTTTATAAAAATCACATTTAACAATTAACAATAGTATGGCTTTTAATATTGTAAATAGGTTACAATAATTATGCCCCAGTTGTTGTTCTATCACATTTTCAACCAACTTCAAAAAAAGGAGGAGGTTCAAATTTCCACAGTATTTTTTTTATGTTTGTTAACTCAGAACATTTTTGTAGGTGAACTGATTTTGATGATTCTTTTTTTTTTTGAAAGCTGGTGCTTCTCATACGGTCCCATATAAATTTGATCAAAATCTGACCAGTAGTTTTTGAGTTATCCTATAAATGTGTATTTAATTGACTTCAACTACATTGATGATGTTCTCATTTTATTTATATTAAAGTCAGTTGTACAAAATTTTAAACTTTGCCACTTGTGGCTTCTCAATGAAATAGAAACAGGCATTTTTTAGGTAAAAATGTGACTTAAAACTAAACACAAAATTATGGATAACACAATACATTGACGGACCCATGGACAGTGGTTTAGGAATGAGTTATGGTGCTGAAAGACGAAGGTTTGAATCCTGTATGGCTCAAGTATTTATATGGCCTACAAATAACTGTTCTGGGTCGGTGATCTTTGTGCAATTTATGTATATAGATTGCCTCTACAACATAAGAGAAAATCTTAATGTGAGAGTAACATTTCTTTTTTGGAAAAGAAACTTAATAAATACTGTATAACTAATTGCCAAGTTTAGAGAATTAGATTACCACTAAAGTTAATAATTAATAATTACAGTTTAATATTACTCATTTGAATATATAATGTATTTAAAATGTTTGAATTATTTACATGAAATTACAGATAGTTAAAAGGATTTTTAACTACTATTTTCTTTTTTATCGTGGGGCTCACAGTACAGAGGTCTTCAGCTATTTTATTTATTTATTTATTCATTCTTTATTGCACTAAATATTTGTACAAAAGGCAAGCTTAATGCTATATGGCATTCTCTACCAGCTTACCTTGGGTAGAACAGAGAGTGAGTTTGGGCTGTTAAGTTGTCATGATATAATTCAGTTCAAATATATACATGCAACACATACATAAAATATACACATATATATATATATATATATATAATTCATATACATATATATCTCAATATATATATATATATATATATATATATATATATATATATATATATATATATATATATATAAATAACTATAAACATATAAAATAAGTTGACTCAACTTTGTAGGCTACGGATATGCTCATATAGTTTTCTTTTAAAAACATTTTTGGCAGGTATTGTTCACAGGTCAACAGGCAATTTGTTCCAGAGGGTAATGGAAGTAACTGTGAAAGAATTTGACATAGACCCAGAATGGTGGAGAGGAGTGGACAGGAATAAACTTTGTGAAGAACGGAGATTGAGAGAATGAGTGTCACTAAGGAATTGAAATCTTTCTTTTAGATAAACAAAATAAAGGCTATAATACTGTTAATATTTGAAAATGGGTTCTGAGTAAGAGTTGCAATGTTAAAATAACTTTATCAAAGAAGCCAATTTCTTTTTGTATTGAGAATGGGCCCACTACCGTAACCAGACGTAACTTAATGAAACACATGTCGATTTATTCCTTATAACCAATAGATTACAATAGTTATATTAGTTTTACCGTAAGTAACGGGAATGCTGAGAAATTAACAATTAAAATATGAATATCACAATAACCTAAAAACAAACTAAAAGTGATTGCCTAGCAATTTTCTCTCATATTATAAGTTAAAATAGTGCACTGGTCAATAATTAATAGTATAAAAGAAAGTTGTAGGTACATTCAGCATTTATAGGTACTTTTAGGTTGATGGAATTTTTTTTCTAGTAGTTCGTTCATCTTTACACACATTTTTTTTTTCATATACATTAGCCAATTCAAGAATATCAGAAGAACTCTTTTTTTTTCAGATTTTATGATTCCAGTTACATTTTCATTAAATCTTTAGGCATTTTACTATAATAAATTGGTGTCTTTTTTGTGTAATAAAATTAGGTTACGTTAAAGTTTCTAGTGGACCCAAAACGATTGTCTCCTTTGTTTTATAAAATGTTTTTTTTTTCCGAAATTTGAAGTAATTTCATTATTAGCTACGTTTGTAAATTACTTTTAATAAAGTGGAGTCAATAAAAAGTATAAAAGATACTATTGCCAAGTAACGCCAAAAGCAAAATATCTGCTGTAAAATGTGTGGCGTTAATCTAAATGGCAAAACTACCATCTTGTAGACAATAAAACAGTTAGTCACAGTTTAGACTTTTTCTTTGTTAAGAAAACACAAATTCAAACAAGGCTAATAAATAAAACGTGCATTATCGTTTCCAGGCCTCCCTCGTTTAAACGAACTGAACAAGCATATTTTCATGACGTCAGATAGTTTACTACCTAACGAACGCTCCCACAGACATATAGATAAGCAGAAAATAGTAAAAACTTACCCGTCTCCAACAACGACACATTTTATGGCTTGCATTTTGCGATTTCAACGACCGTGGTCACAAATAGCACACGAAAATCACAAGGTTTCGACACCAATCTTAATCAGTAACCACTGCACTTACGATTGCGTCTATTTGCAAAACCACACAAGCATTACAATCAACACTAGCAATTCAATGGCACAGTTTCAGATAACGATATTAATTTTCATATCTTTAAACAAGCGATAAGAACAAACTGTTCAAAAATAAATCGTACAGGTATTGGTATTGAGACAAGACGTTTCGCCGTTCGCCGATGGCGATTACGTGCACTAGTGATGCTGATGCGTCTGGTTTTTAATACACTAATTATGGACACGAGTGATTTTGTAAGTCTCACTCGAGTGAAAAAGGAAATCAAGTTTCGGATTTTTCACACCATGAGATTTTATTGTAAGTAAAAGTAAGAGATAGGAAAAAACAGTAAGAGAGACTCTTCCTGTTTTTTTTCCCATCTCTTACTTTTTATAAGGTTTGATCAAAAATAATGTAAAATCCTTTATTTTTTAAATTCGTTAAATTTGTTAAATTCCTATCGATAATCCAAACTAGAACAGAACAGAAACAGAAATTTTTATTCATTATAGATTATAAATAATACTTATTGAAGGTCACTCTGTCCTGGGAAGAACCAGCAAGAAACCCAGCGGGGCTTTTTTTTAATTACAGCTTAATCATGTATGTTACACAATTAACAACTCAAAACAAATTAGAAATAGCTAAGTAGCGATCACTTCATTCCCAGGGGTTATTATCATCCATAAATTCCTTATAATAACCCTTTTTATAGAAACTTAGTTTAATAAAGTTTTTGAACTTTGCAGGTCAAATTTTGTATATTTTTGTTGTAAAATCGTATACATTGCCCGAAGAATGAATTACCGACTAGTTGGAGCCGAGTAACTGGTACTACTAGCTTTTGTAGCTTACCTATATTTGAAAATCTACTTTTATTTTTGTGTACGTACATTAGTTTTTCATAAATGTATAGGGAGGTCAAAGTTAGTATATTAATTTCCTTAAATTTTTGTTTATTTAGACTTGTAGTTGATTCGAGTGACAAGGAAACTCACGCTTAAGTAGCTGTATCGAGTGACTCGGTAACAATCGTTTTCGGGTGACATCACTAACACGTCCTGTAGCAATAGCCCATAGATAAAGAAAATATTTTTTATCTATGCAATAGCCAATAACCACAGACTATTATGATGCCAATCATAGACTTAGAATATTCTGGCGTCACTGACCTCTATATATGGACTGGCTATAAACATAGACTTAGGATATACTACGCCAGTATATCCTAAGTCTATGGCTATAACCGTGACATAATGAGGCAATTTGATTTTCGCCATTTTGGCGCTGACAGCAGAAGGGAACGTCCATGGAACTAATAATAGAGATAAGACAGTGTGAAAAAATATATCGATAATTCTATACCCAGGACTACCCGTAACATCCATTCTATTTATGTATCAATAAATAAATGTATCAATTAATATCTAGGTCTTAGACTCACGCTTTATACTTCATATAAATCAAGAACCGACGCTGCGTTGATCTATCAACGTTTTTATTCGTAACTACAGACCGGATTTTGTTCCGAGTTTCCAATGAGAAAATGCCTACGTATACCTGCATTGCCGGGGCAAGAACAGATTATGTCGGACTTGCACCTACTAAAACCCCATGACGTTGCACCTTCACTACACTTTGACAGGGCCACGAAAACGCTTTCAAGCACATCCGCGGCCCCACCAGCGAGAACCCCTACTTAGTTGAAGACTTCCCTCCCCAACTTCCCGGCCCCGATATGTGGAGGCCATGAAGCTAAGAAAAAACGAGCACTCGGAAGCACAAAGTGGTAAGTCCCGCTAAAGTCGCGGAGGATAGTTGAGTGGCACATTGCCATACCAATAATCCTCTTCCCTTGCGACACCACCTCAGCTGCAGCGATATAGAGCAGGAATCTCCTCTAGCTAGCACTAACACATATCCAAGGACTCAACAAGCCCACTCAGAGTAGTCACCTTGGACCAGCCCTTCAATTCGGGTCAGCCATATGAGTCGCCCTACGTTTACCATGGGTTACCAAGTCACGGCTACTAACCCCCTCACTCTTCCCCCCACCACGACTAGGCGGCAATCCGTTCAGGGAGGAGTTATTTCTCACCTAAACTCACGCAAACTCACTAAGGACATTAATAATTTTGCAGTTCCAATATAAATTTATTCACTTGATTCAATAAATTGGTCATAATAATTATACAGATCTAACAAACTTACGTCATGTAAAGATAAAGTCACGATCAGGCAACCTTTCTACACTTGGCTATGGCTATGCCCTTGAGTCTGGGGGAAAATAAGGAGAGAAGAAATAAAAAAAAAATTCGAAATAATAATCTAATACTTTTATACTTACTGGTACCGGTATCAGTAAATATTGTGGGTATCCTGCACTTTTTCAAAGTGTCTCATGTCCAATAAAACATTCGTCTGTGAAGTGTTTAGAACAAAGATAATCATTTTGTTTTGGACGCCAATTCACAATGTTTGTGCTTTTTAGCCAAAAGTTTAGTCTAGGTTCTAGTTCTAGGTAGGTTGGTTGTGAACAGATATGGGTAGAAAAGAACATCGATAAGTATTATAGACAAGGAACTCAACAACCCTATTGAATTTTATTGTTCAAAACTCAGTAATATAAAGACATACATGTTGGTAATTACGATATTAAGATAAGTAACAATTTTTACGTACCTATATTATCAAATAGTTTTAGTTTGCTCAATATTAGCTGCAAATTCACTTACTTGTGGAATGTTATCAGACTTTCCTTTCGGTAACGAATTTGACATATTACGCACACTCATTATTACTAAAAATAATTCTTATTATGTATATGAAATCAAACATTATCAAACCACATAAAATAATTTCATTTTTTTAGTTTAAAAATTCAAGTTTAGTTCCCGGTACAGAAAATGATGGCGCTTCAAATCGGCATAAGCATTTTGTATGGAATAGTCAGTTCAGCGTACTTGTATATTATATAGACATCAGTGGCTGGCGTACTTAACCCCCCTATCCCAGCCTATGAACTTAGAGTATATAAATTTAAAAAATACTGACATACGTATTTCAAATACCACATCTCAAAAATATTAATTATTTAAACTGCACCTACGTAGATTAGAAATAAAAAATAGTTAAAGATCGCTTACCTTTTAACATCGATACTACTTAAAATAATTAGAATTCGGCACTAAATGCAATATAAAAAAAAAAACTGCACCTTGCTTGAATATATCTATCGCACTATTGTTAAGGCCTTAACAGTGGTTGAAATGCCTAAATCTTGGATATTTAAGCAAAAAAAATCTCAATAACTGTTCATTCAATCCACAAAGAAAAAATACAGGGTAACAGAAGAAGATTTGGTAAATGTTTTTAATTGAACAAAATTGTATTTATGTCAACCCCTTATTAGAAAAAAATCCCCAAAGAGTACCTATCTTTGTCATATTTTGCAAAATTTCTCCAAAACGGCACAAGCTTTTTAAATAGTTCTTACACTAAAAAAAAGGTCTTAAAAATATTAATAGTTTTAATTGAGAGTTTTATTTTTATTACCCGTTTTATAAGAGAATATATCATTCACGCGAGCGCGCATGCTCCGTCGCCATGTAAGCTCTGCCACAGTCCGTTTTCGGACATCGTCGAGGGTGGACCGCACGTCGGTGTTGGAGCGACTTCGTTCAAATATATATTAGTTTTTTAAAACTCAATTATAAATATTTTTATGACTAGAAATACTTAATTTAGTTAATATCTGTACACTGGTAGCTGTAAATATTATTTTCTAAATAAATGAATTTTTAAAGTGCCCAAAGAAGAAGAAATTTTCGCGCCGACGTTGATTAGTGAAATTGAAAAATGCATTTTTATATAACTTAGATGTGGAACGACGAACATGCTCTCGTTACTTAGATTTCGATAGTTTTTAATACCTATGTATTTTATTGTTGCATATTTTTATTAATTAGTTGGTACTGAATTTTATAATTATGTATTACAATAAAACACTGTTTTTATGAGTATGACTTTATAAAATATTATTGGGGAAGGAAATAAAGATACAGATACTTAAATTTAGGTACACTGTTATCAAATTAAATCAAACAATTTAAATAAATAAAAGAATGGTGTTTACCTAAGTATAAATAACTATATAAAGACATTCTTGGGTTTATAGTTTTTTTTATGTTAGACAAACTATCATCTAAAAAATGATGAAAATGAGATAAAAAATAGGAAGAAAGGTCCTCGAGTGTCAACCTCGTACAGGTAAGCGAATTAGTACTCAACGTTTATTCCTCTTCACGTATTCTCATACGCTTTTCTTAACACACACCCACACACACACACACACACACACACACACACACACACACACACACACACACACACACACACACACACACACACACACACACACACACACACACACACACACACACACACACACACACACACACACACACACACATACATACACACACACACACACACACAATAGGTAAGAGTGAATAGGTTTTTGTTAAGTCAGTGCAATTCACCATATTAGACTACATAACCACTTACCGATGGGATTGTAGTTGCTTTACTACTTGCTGGGTAAAAAGAGTAAAAAAAAATTACCCTGTGAAAGTTTGCATTTAGATATAATTTTTCTAACCAACCATAAAAATATGATGAGAATATGTATATAAGTATAAAGGCTACCTCACACGGGACAGTAATAATATAATATTATATCTTCCATTATCTACGCATGAAAACTTTTAAAATCTCTGGATCCCGAGGTATGTTCATATTAAGAGGCTGAATAGAGCCACATTGATATGCATGGGGATCGTTTCGTAATTTCACGTCATTATCGAAAAAAAATTGTACGTATTTCAGGTGACGGTTTGCAAAACACGATTCCACAAAA